ATGTTTAAGGTGTCGAGGGAAGAGAGTCTAGCATCGACAATGCTATAAAAAGAGGATACAGAGTGAAAAAACTCCACACAATCAAGCGCTAGTTGTATTTGATGAYAGTAATTTTTGTTTTTTGGGGGAGTCCAATCAGCGCCATTTTTGTATCCACAGATCAAACTTCCTTCAATTAATTTGGACCTTGTATTCCTGGTTATAAAATAGTACTTTATAGACTTAAAGTGATTAAAGAAAATTTGAGGTGAAAATTAGACAAAATTAATTATTGAATAACAACGTTGTTTTTTCTATTTGAAGGTTTTGATAATTTTATTTAAAGAAAACTGACGTATCATTATTTTCATTGGCTCAATTTATATGTATAATTTTATATAAAATTCTTAAGAGTTCTAATTATGTTTTTATCATTGTTTAACTTGTATATTTTGACATTATTTATTTTTAATTCACTAGTTATGAAAATATTATAGTAAAAATTAAAACATAACATAGAAAAATTGAATAACTGATAGATTTGCTGACAGAATAATTAATACGTACATTATTTGGTTACCTTGATTATATTTTAATATTTTCATTTTTAAATGTAYCTATTGAAATAAAAATACAAAAAGTGTTAAGAAAGTAAGTATTAATTACTTAAGAACTTGTCTTTAGTAATTAATTACCCAGTGTTTTTTTATTTAGGTATCTCACGGAAATCTTTTGAATTACATTATTATAATATAATATAAATATAATATTATTATTATCATATGATTTGTCTGTTTTTCTTTATCACATCTTCCTAATTTTTATCAGTATTTTTACATAGGATACAGTTTTTAGATTTATATTTTCTATTACTATTAGGGCCAGTTGTACCGTCTCTGATTAAAGTTAACCGGAGTTTAATYGGCCRAWTTTGCAYGGTTAAATATCTGTTATCAGCTGATTAAGCGTAATCGAAGTTTAACCGTAGACGGTACAACTGGCCCTTATGATACAAATAAATAACACGGTTTCAATCATATTATGTAGTAACCTATGGTTTAACGCTTTCTTATAGCAAACATAGATAAATCCAAACGTGTGCGCATTTATGGTWSWACCATTGCAAGATGAAGTTGAATTAGTGGTATCTGTCCTTGGCTACTTGTAAAAAGTTCATGAGCTTTGCACAAAGTACAATTTTCTTTGGATTGATGATTAAGTACAATCTGGATTGGATAGAAAATATCCGTYTAAAAATGTTAGTAGTTGGTTATGAAAACGTCAAACCAGATCTATTGATCCTACGATAGTCCTTTTCAACGAAGTTTATTCGGTGAGTATKATTTGAAAACCATTAAGTAGMATTTTTTTTTTATTATTATTATTATAAGGGTCTATTTAATAAAATAAATTTAACACAATAGGTTTCTGTGGTATTGGGCAATAAGTAGATAATAATAATAATAATAATAATAATAATAATCAGTAGACGTAATCATCATAAGCAAAGGTTTAGTAGAAGAAGATGAACAAGATCCCAAAGTTCAAACTTACCACA